ATTAATCATGAATTTACATAACTCCCCTCCAGGGGGACGGATACTTCGGCTAGTTTTAAATATGATAACTCTGAGATTATATGAAACTCTTGAAGCAAAAATCTGTGACTACTGGAACTATTCGCGATGTATGTGACTCAATATAATAACGAATGAAAGCGAAAGTGTCAGTATATTGAACATTCTCTTAATTACCATACATGGACATGGCCTTGGAAGTGGTCATAGCATAAACTCTGATCTTCATGTACTAATTAACAGAATATTGTACAGTTGTATACAAACAAATGCAGGGGGAGAAAGAGGTACAAGAGAACCTGACCTTCCCAGATCAACAAGACTTAAATCCCGATACAGACGTACAGTGACGGTTGAAAATGTTACATTTTTCAAATATAGCCGGATTAGGGATCTTCTACCTATATAAAACGTTATGATTACGTGACAGATTTTAACAGGTGTTGATTTTTGCGTAAAGTGCGACAGAAAATAAATATTACGAATTCACTAACAATAGGTGTACTAAAACTATCACCTGTTATCACTGTTAAGCACCTGCCAAAACTTCTACGACAAACCATATGTTCAAGTGCGCCAACAGGTGGCGCATTAAAAACGTCTTACAAAGATAACTTTAGGCTTAGGGTGAAGGAGGATTGCTAATCTTCGAGCACCCCTGATTATTAATTATTTCTCCTGAAATAATTAAGTTTATACTAAAATAACTGCCAGAAATATGCAATGCAACGTTAGGCTCTGTCGGCCTCCATCACGATTCATTAAATGTTCGTGGTGGTAAGCGTTGTCAATAATTTTAATATTGTTCTAATCGATGTTACGAATGGTTTCTCCTGGGTGCGATGAATTACAGTTCTCACATTTACAAGCCTGTGTTGTTTGCGTAAAATACTTTCAGTGTAGAAAACTTTAATATAATTGCCCTATCATTCTTATAAGATTCTTGAAAATAGTGATCCGTTATCGTTGAAACGATGGGCAGTTTAGTAATTACGTTATCTTGAGGTGTATTTATTTTATCAGTTATTAAAACCTCTATTACAAATGCTTGAAACATCAGACAAAAGCATGTTTCTGCTGAAGTAACAGATACAGTGTTAAAAAAAAAGATACAAATATTTTATTAGTTATTAAAACCTCTATTACAAATGCTTGAAACATCAGACAAAAGCATGTTTCTGCTGAAGTAACAGATACAGTGTTAAAAAAAAAGATACAAAAATAAACTTAGTCAACACCACTTCAGTTTCGTTATCCTTTTCTTGTGGACAGAGGAAGTCGAGTGCCAATGATATATCTTAATTTTTCTGAATCCTGACAAGAGGTCTCTTTAATTTTAGAACTCTTACGAAGAGGAGATTAAAATATCAAGTTTGGGGATATTTTGCCATGTTTTCACTAGATTGACGTCAGCAGTTATAAAAATTGGATGTTATGACTCGTTTTTCATGCTTGCTTTGTCCACAACATTACAGACACGACTATTTTTTTAACAACACAGACACGACTTCTCTACTGTTTAAACGAAATGACAAACTATTTTAATTCATTACCTTGTCACCAGGCATTTGATATTGCACAATAAAGTGATTTAGTTGTTTTTTTTCAGGGACTCACTTATTGTATGCTGTATTAGTAGTGGGACCAGTCTATTCTCCGGTCTTGTGATTTTTTCCGTCCTCGGCCACATGGCGCACGTCCAGCACAAGGACGTCTCAGAGGTGGCCCGATCTGGCCCTGGACTGGCCTTCTTAGCATACCCAGAAGTCGTTGTCAGACTTCCACTGGCTCCCTTATGGGCAGTTCTTTTCTTCCTGATGTTAATAGTGTTGGGTACCGATAGCCAAGTAATTATTAATTTATTTTTGATATAAACAAAAAATATGAAAAAAAAAGACTAAGTAACTTATTGGCACTAAAACTTATGACAAATGAAGTGTTTGTTATAATTCTGCTAACCAATGTATAACTTACTTCACAAAATTCTATAACTATTGTGCAAATTATAAAAATACAACAAGTGTAAGTTGCCGTACAGTTCTGTTAAGCCTAGTTCAACAAAGTGTCATAAATTAAAAACAAAAAAAATCTAACCATTTTTTTAAGTGTTACATAATCAGCCACAAATGTTTGATTGTTCACAGGAAACTACCGGTAGGAAAATATTATCTCTGTTACATAATAAGTATTATTTTCGTTCCTTTTATGATTAATCTTTCATTGCCACGTTTGTAGAAAAACAATACTCCCCTTCAATCGCAGCTGTATTTTTAGAAACACACAGAAGTACGTGTGATGATGTATCATTAAGTAAATCTTTTTTTGTAAACGTAAATAAAATAACGATCTATATCTCCAGAATGTAACTTTATTAGCGAAATATTTCGCTATTACAGCTTCGATTACCTACCAGTTCAGTCTAAATTGGAACAAGCCGTAACGGCGAAATATTGAGCTAAAAAGTTACATTCTGGAGATATGGGTCATTATTTTATTTACGCTTATAAAAATGGCTCGTAATAAACCACAGTTTGCGTTAAACAAAGTCAAGAATAATATATTTTGATTATTACGTGTATTTGTAAAGAAATGTTTGCCTGGAATATTTTACAAATGATTATATATTCATATTGTAAAAAGTATTAAGTAAAACAATTACTTATGCATTTATTAAAAATTAAAAAATTAATATGCAACATTTGTTTTTTTGTGTAGAATTATACACGGACTTTTCTCTACGTTAAAATACTTTATATGCGAGCTTTTAGCCCTCCTACCGCAGCCTTCATCAGGCAACAATGCACTTAGCGATAAAAATTCGTTTAACCGTATCTAGGCAACAGTCGTAGCAATAACTGACACCTGGTATAAAAGTTATTAAACATAGAATTATAATGAATAAAGAAGATAAATCGATTGCTTCAATATAATGAACATAAGAAAAATACAAGTATAAGTATTATATACAAGAATATAAATTTGTTTTTTTTATTATCAGTGATAACATTATCGATTTTATTAAGGTGGGGCCTTATTTTTCAGGGCATCTACTCAATAAACTTTTTAAGGATAAAACGATGGTTATAATGAGTGTTCCAACGGCAGTGAAAGAGTGTAAAGAAAATATTAACTATATTCGATAATATCTGTACAAAATCAAACTTTTTGTGAAATTACATATGAAATTAATAATAAAAAGAATATTATTTATTTAGGTTATGTATTGAAACGATCGAATAGTTTATTTTGAATGACTCGTACGTTATATTTAGATTATTTGTCGTAAATATCATTTTATTAATGTTAAAAAACAGTCACATATTTTATTTAGATTTTCTTTCTAACCAATCATATCTTTGACTTAGATTTTGCGTCTGGATGAAAAATATAATTAATATTATGTTTCCAGTTTTGTACAGTGGAGGCCTTTGTCACAGGAGTTGTTGTTAATATTCTATTTACAGTTTTGTACAGTGGAGGCCTTTGTCACAGGAGTTGTTGATGAGTTTCCGAATGTACTTCGACCACGTCGCAAACTTTTTACTTTTCTTGTTGTTATTCTCCAGTTTCTTCTAGGAATTCCTCTTGTTACTCAGGTTTGTTACAAAAATCCTATAATCCGTGTTTAAATTAGATTATAATTTAGGTTTGATAATATTATTTCTATTAACAGTATTATAATAATAAAAAAAACATCGTTTTTACTTTATACTCTAAATATACTCGTACAATTGTGCCTAAGAAAGATATATCTGGCTAACATCTTAAGAAGTGAACATGCAGAATGGGGTATTAATCAGAATGTGAAAACCAAAGAAATTATTACTTTAACGACATTGGTTGGATAATTCAGTTTATGTTGAAGGTCGATAATTTTATATTATTACGATTCGTTATGTTAGTTGTTTTTTTATGACCGGAGTTGAAGAAGTTAGTTTTTAGTAAGAAGAGACGTTTTTAAGACAGTGTAGTTGATGGGTTGCGTTTGTTTACAAGGAAGACAGTGTGGTTGATGGGTTGTGTTTGTTTACAAGGAAGACAGTGTGGTTGATGGATTGTGTTTGTTTACAAGGAAGACAGTGTAGTTGATGGGTTGTGTTTGTTTACAAGGAAGAAAGTGTAGTTGATGGGTTGTGAATATGTAACATAATAATATGCTAGGATGTTTCGAGACACAATTTTAAGAAAAAAAATGCTTTTCTTTTTACTGGCAAGTTGGTATTGATTAAAAATTATTATTGTAGTAATATGTTAAAAGGTTTTGTTCCTATGGAGACTATACCTTTATTAAAGTTTGTGAGAAACACAAGCTTTGCTCACCACGGGTATCGAAACCCAGTTTTTAGCATCTATCTCTGTTCCACAGGGGCTGTGAGAAACGAAAGTGTTTCTTTTTCTGGACAGATTAAGTATACATCTGATGGTTTGTCAAACATATGTCATCAGCCGCACTGTCCTCCTGTAAACAAACATAAGTCATCAGCCATGCTGTCCTCCCTGTAAACAAACATATGTCATCAACCATACTGTCCTCCCTGTAAACAAAGACAACTTTACAGGAGAGCAGTGCGGCTGATGACATATGTTTGTTTACAGGGAGGACAGCATGGCTGATGACTTATGCTTGTTTACAGGGAGTGTAATATGACTCATGGGTTGTGTTTGTTTACAGGGAGGACAATACTTGTTCCAGCTAATGGATGATTTTTCAGCAAGTGGTGTCACGTTGTTAACTGTCGTTTTCTTTGAGATCGTTGGATTTGCTTGGATTTACGGTACGTCTGCTTGATCTATTAAAACAAGCTGATTTATCATTTATTATATATTCATCCCAATTTAACATTAACAAGCTCGCTGCCTGATCTTCTGCCTCGCCAACTCGACGTTTTGACCTACGCCTTCTCTAGAAACAGTTACTTATATATATTTTTGGTCACATCAAAACTTAGTATTTAGCCAATTATGCTAATTTGGGGAAGCGCAGAAACAAAATAACTAAATACGTGAATGACTACCTCGTTAACCTTAGGCCTACAAAATAAGACTCATTTATAAGGAATTAAGATATTTTATAAAGAAAAAAATCTTTAAGAGTGTCAATTTTATTTTACTCCTGTAATCATATTACACAATAAAACATGTCGACCGTTTTAAAAAAAAAACTATTCACCCTTTTCATACAGGTACAAAACAGATTTGTCTGAACATACAAGACATGACTGGGTTTCATCCAAACTACTATTTCACCTTAAGTTGGATGGTGGCGGCACCTGTTGTCATTGTAGTGAGTTATCTGATTTTATTATATGGTATATTACGTAAACAGTCTCTCACATAATTCAATCTAATTAATTTGATCTTCCAGGTCTGCACTGACTTTTCCAATAAAACGTTCGAAAAATTGAAAGTAAGAAAAAATTAAATATTTTTCATTTCAACAGTTTATATCAGTATTAAAACTGTATTATTACCACCATCGTTGTGAGATAGATAAAAGTTAGAGTCATGTTATCTCTATTTCAGGGGATCTTCTTGTTTTCTGTGTTGAAGTACGAGGGTGTGACCTATGCTAATACTTACAAGTATCCCTGGTGGGGAGAGATGTTAGGCTGGGGGATGTCCTTGGCTGCAATTATTTGGATTCCTTGTTACGCCATCTATTATCTCATGACGACATCAGGGACCCTAAAAACCGTAAGTTAGTTTACTGTTAACCAAACGACAACATTTGCTCTAATATTCAATTAGTAGAAAGGGTAAGAACTATCTTGTTGTTGATAAAACTAAAGAAAAAGAACAGACTGTGATGTAAATAATCGTGGAAGTAGACAAACGATACACAAACAGACAGTGATGTAACTAATCGTGGAAGTAGACAAACGATACACAAACATACAGTGATGTGACTAATCGTGGAAGTAGACAAACGATTCACAAACATACAGTGATGTGACTAATCGTTTGTGTATCGTTTGTCTACTTCCACAGACAGTGATGTAACATCACTGTCTGTTTGTGTATCGTTTGTCTACTTCCACGATTAAATAAATAATCATGGAAGTAGACAAACGATTCACAAACAGACAGTGATGTAGATAATCGTGGAAGTAGACAAACGATTCACAAACAGACAGTGATGTAAATAATCGTGGAAGTAGACAAACGATACACAAACAGACAGTGATGTAACTAATCGTGGAAGTAGACAAACGATACACAAACAGACAGTGATGTAGATAATCGTGGAAGTAGACAAACGATTCACAAACAGACAGTGATATAAATAATCATGGAAGTAGACAAACGATTCACAAACATACAGTGATGTAGATAATCGTGGAAGTAGACAAACGATTCACAAACATACAGTGATGTAGATAATCGTGGAAGTAGACAAACGATTCACAAACATACAGTGATGTAAATAATCGTGGAAGTAGACAAACGATTCACAAACAAACAGTGATGTAACTAATCGTGGAAGTAGACAAACGATTCACAAACAGACAGTAATGACAACTAATAGATGAATTTATTAATGATAGAAAATATTATCAGAGAAAAGCGAATTAGCTCTACAATACAATTGTATTTTTCTGTTATTTTACACCTTGTTTACATGCTGATATAGTTTTTTTAATTGTATTTTTCTGTTATTTTACACCTTGTTTACATGCTGATATACAGTTTTTTAATTGTATTTTTCTGTTATTTTACACCTTGTTTACATGCTGATATACAGTTTTCAATGTTCGATTCCGAAATATTGCCCAAAATGTTTTGTATGTCACCCCACAATTCAGCCAAGCCATTTGATTCACCTTTTGACCATCCCACTTTTTTGCCAATACTCATATGCTTCAATAATGTTGTTTTTGAGACTTCGTTAATATCAAGCCATGATTGCGAGTGTTCTGTTGACTTCTTTACCATTAATATGTTGTTTCACGACATTTACTGTAGGTCTGGTATCATGGTCTTCCTGAAAAATCAATCCCTACATGATGAGTTATGTTCGCGTGATGAATTTTTTATCGTTAAACACATACCCTGACATACTTAACTTTTGGTTTTCTACCTTGAGCACTTCTATTATGAACAATTTGAATTTCAAGCACGTTTTTCGAAGTTCCGCATACAGCTTATACTGAAACACGAAGTTTTTCACAATTTTTGTAAGGAGTTTTCTTTACAACTCAAAACTTTGGTTTCAAAACGTTAATCTTGCCGCGTTTCAGGCCTAGGGATCATGAATGAATATATATACTACATCTACTACTAGGCATAGTATGAACGCCTGTACTTCTATAGGCCAAGTATGGGGTGATAGTTTCTTATTGGTTGGATGTCAGCCAATTACAGTGTACACTAAACTCTAGCGCTGTACATTTTGTCACGATAAAGGGCTGGCATTGCCGTAGTATTTGCCTTTTGTAACTTCTCTCTCGCTGTTTACATAATTATTTCTATTAATTTATGTACATATCTAGCTAGTGAACTGAAAATTGAAGACGACCGTTTTTTAACAACATTCATCCGATTTAATCGGTTTTATAAAACGCTGTAATTCTTGAATTTCGTAAAAACCAATTTTCCACAGAAATTATTTTCTGAATTTTGTTCATACTTAAAATAAAATTTTATCTTTTAGTACTGAATTATTTAATTTCGTTACGGTTGAATCTTCAACATTCGTTCAGCAAGTGTTGTCTCTCTTAAAGTACTGAGCATGCTAAGTTATATTTTATTCAAGTGAAACATAAAATCAGTAATCGCTTGGCGATTAATTCATTGAGCTTCTTATTTTCCGGTAACTTTGAGACTTATTTTCTGGAACTGAATGTCTTCATAAAATGAACTATTTATGGCCCAACTATTTATTTATACATTGGACAGAAGAGTCAGTATTTAATGTTTTTACTTCCCTTATATTATGAAAATGGTCTTAGCCTGGTTAATTTTAATAGTATTAACCTGGTTAATTTTAACAATAGTACCTGATTAATTTTAATAGTATTAACCTGGTTAATTTTAACAGTCTTAGCCTGGCTAATTTTTTAAAACTTCTTTGAATATATCAACAAAACATCGGTAAGGAGTAGAATATATTCATGTTTACCATATTATTATAGCGACTGAAAAAAGGATTGAGTCCAGTTATGGTACCAACTTATGAAAAAGAAGTAATCTTTACTGAAAATGGTGAAAACGCCGAGGCCCATGTTGCTGTTGTTTATAAGACTAAAGATGCTAAAGTGTTTAATGACATTTAAACACGCTCGATGGCGCCACCTCTACATTAGTTGCCGTCAACGAAGCCTAGATTTCTTGTATTATCGTCGTGTGGACATTTGTACAAATATATAAAATGTATAACAAGGGTCATTTCTAGGAAGATTCAATTTTATAAACTAACATACGTTATTTTTATTGAATATTTGTTGGTCTAGGTAGATTCAGCTAAGTTATGTTTGCCCAGTTTTTTTTTTGATGAATATTTTACTGATTTGCTATTGTAAACTTGATGAATTAAGGGGTCAATTTTATCTTTAGTATTTCTTTAAAAAACGAAATATTTTATTCAACTAACGACCTTAATAGACGTAGTAGAACATACCTTATGTGTGTAGCCATAGCTCGTACATAGGTAAGAATAATAACCAAATAATGGAAATTACTGGAATCTTGTGATAACTGTTTTACTTCTAGTGCGTAAGCCTAATCTACGGCGACGATCCATAATCACCTTCTTACTTAGTCTTTACTCTTTTTTTCTGTGTTTAATTTATATTTTCAAATAACGCTTGATTAAGACCGACGGCATTTTGTTCATTTTTCAATGCAAAATAGAGAACAAATAAAAAGCAGTTGAAAAACAAAATAAAACAAAAACTTATTTGTGATTAGCAAGCTGTAGTTCTTTTTTTTTTCCTAACAGAACGAAAGAAAGTAATTAAAACAAATTAGTAGTTGATATCTTGGCTAAAAGTAAAAACGTGATATTATTAATCATCACAATAATGTGTTAATGAAAACAGTTAAAGTCCTTACATTTGATCTATTTGCTCAAGCTCATAGGTAGATATCTTTCTTATGTTACAAAACTTTGGTGTGTTGTTAAGCGCAATGCTACACAATGGGTTATCGAAACTCGTTATTTAGCCTTGTAAGCGCGCAGACTTATCACTGAACCACAAAACGAAAGAGACTAATTAAAAATATATAAATGAAATAAAATAATTAAGGACGTTATAATTTATCTTTGATGAATTTCTTTGATCTTAAATCCATCATGAAGAATTAAAGAATCGATGTTCGTTACTTTTTAACCTTCACATTTTTAGACTCAAATTACTTAAAGTTAAAAGTTTAATGAATGATTAAGCTTCCCAATACTATCTCAAGAGGTTCAACCAGCTTAGGAGACTTAGGTTAGTCCTAGATACATATACTACGCTAAAATATAGAATAATCTTTATAATAAACATAAAATGATAAAAAATCAAAAATAACAAAAATTGATAAATTAGACAGATATACTAACTAATACTGTTAATAAAAGTAACATTAATGAAAGCTTACTTAAGCTTAACACCATCTGACTCAAATGGCTTTACTGTTTAGGCTTCAAACTATCATACTCAAATGACTTTACTGTTTAGGCTTAACACCATCAGACTCAAAAGGCGTTATTGTTTAGGTTTAACATAATCAGACTCAAATATCTTTACTGTTTAGGCTTCCTACCATCAGACTCATATATCTTTACTGTTTAGGTTTAACACCATCATAATCAAATATCTTTACTGTTTACGTTTAACACCACCAAACTCAAATATCTTTTTTGTTTAGATTTAACACCATCAAACTCAAATATTTTAAATTAATGTTCAAGTTTCCCACTACCAGACTATTTATTGAATAGTTAATACGCCACATTAGAGTGAAAAACCACTTCTTTTACTAATATATCGGCCTCATTGGCAGACAAGTAAACGTTCTTGTTTTTGTACTACTAACACACTGACATATTTCTATGTCATTTTTCTGGTTTGCTATAGCATTTTAAACAAGCAGATCAAGGGAATTTTCTATAGAAACCTTTTTTTTAGCGCGCAACACAGAAAAAAAATCTCACACCCGTGGCTAGATTTTTTTAAAATGTGCATTCTGTTTGAATTTCAACGAAAAAAGTCAGATTACAGTTTGTTCTGTGTTGTCAGTGTGATTCAGGCATTTTAACGGTTTATCCTCAATACTTATAACATCATGGCTTTGGCTAACATTGTTTCACCAATCAAAGCTCACACTTAAAAGTAAAATCAAATAAGGCCATTAATTTCGATGACGAGGAACCCACTTTGAGACTAATAATGGCTGGAGACGGCTTGAATGGGTAATGAAGAAAAACTTTAATATAAGTTTAACATAACAGCAAATGTACAACGTTTCGACAAGGTTTTGTCATCATCAGGTACCATACAAAACCTTGTCCGTTTGCTGTTATCTTAAACTTATATTAAAGTTTTTCTTCATTACCCATTCAAGCC